CTCCCTTGTCAGCCCAAAGAGCAATCAGGGTTCCCTGCCCTGTGGGAAGTCCAAGGACCACCCACCTCCATCCAGGTCTAGTAAGGTGAGCAACCAAACTGCCTAGGCTCCCACAAAGCCAATACGTGCAGTAGGATCAAAAACCCATTGCCATTGTTCTTGAGTTCTCAGTAGTCCTCCTTGTCTGCTATGTTCAGCGAGACCGGTTTTATCCCGGGCTTTTTTCAGACCCAGGCCAGCTGGCCTTGGTGAGTTCCTGATACAACATGCCCATTGTCTCAGTGTGTGGGTGCACCCCTTGTTCTGTAAGCTTCTCATATTTTTGTGAGCATGTCCTTCTTTAGATTAGGGAAATTTTTATGATTTTTGTTGAATATATTTTCTGTGTGTTTCAGCTGGTATTTTTCTTCTTCTATCACCATTATTCTTAGTCTTTTCATGGTGTCCTAGATTTCCTGGAAATTTTAGGTTACAACTTTGTTGGCTTTAATGTTTTCTTTGACTGATCAATCTCTTTCCTCTATTGTATCTTTAATGCAAGGGAGTCTCTCTTGAATCTCTTGCATTATGTTGGTTATGCTTGCATCTGTAGTTCCTGTTTGTTTACCCAGATTTTCCATTTCCAGAATTCCCTCAATTTGCGTTTTCTTAATTGTCTCTATTTCAGTTTTCAAGTCTTGAGTTGTTTGCATCGTCTATTTGATTGGTATATTTTTTTTTAGCTTTATTGGTTTTCTTTAAGAGATTTATTGTTTCCTTTTTTTTTTTTTGAGACAGAGTTTCTCTGTGTAACAGGCATAGCTGCCTAGAATTACCTCTGTAATCCTTGCTGGCTCGAACTCACAGAAATCTGCTGCCTTTGCCTCAAAAGCACTGGGATTAAAGGCATATGCTACCTATGCTTGTCTCCTAAATTTCTTTAAGGGAATTTTTCTTTTCTTCTTTAACAGCCTCATGAAGTTATTATAGGGTCATTTTCTTCTGTTTCACCTATTTTGGCATGTTCATGTCTTTCTTTTGCGGAACCATTAGGTTCTGGTGTTATCATTTTGTTCTTTATGTTGTTGGATGTGGTCTTGCCCTGGCATCAACCCATTTCTTCCCCTAACTGCTGTAGACTGCCACCTAGGGTCTGCTCTTTGTCTAGTTGGTGAATGAGGTGTCTGTGTTTTCAGGTTCACTGATGCTGCTAGTGGATGGTTGGGTTGTGATGCTGCGTGGAACTTGTAGAGAGGCAAATGGGAGGTGTGGAGCAGCCTGCCTGTGGGAGTCTTGCCTGCTGACCAGCTAGTGGGACTGCAGTGGATGGGGGGAGAGACACAAGGCATGCCCCATCTTTCCAGCTGGGAGTCTAGTCACTTAACTCTTTGTCCAGTTGGTTCAGATGCTGCCTCTGCCTCTGGGTGCTGCTGATGCTGTGGTTGACAGTTAAAAGTTTGTGGGGTGGGAAAGGGCTTATAGATTACAGGGTCCAATGGGGTGGTGGGTAGAATAACCTGACAAGAGCCTTACCTGCCAACTGGCTAGTGGGGCTGTGATGGGCAGAGGCAGGGTATGGGGTATGACCCAGAGCCTAGATCATAGAGATGGGGCTGCTCAGTTATGAGACCAGTCACTCACTTCTTTACCCAGTCGATGAAGGCAGTGTCTATCCATATGGAACTTTGTAACTGATTGTTCTTCCTATAATTGTAGATGGTTAAAACATAAAATGGAAATAGAATTGTTTGTCAATGATTCAGTTAGTTTAATTAAGATAATTATAGCTTAACTTGACTATTTCTGTGAAACAAAAAATTAAAAATTACATCCTAAAATGACACAGAGTACAAATGAAAACTTGCATAATTCAATAAACAAATACTAAATATATACTATCTATCAGATATCATACTATGTATTTCATCACTGAAAATTTGTGAGCCCTTTTTAGACCAATGTACCCTTGGAAAAAAACAAGTTTAGTATATTCTTGGAAAGCCATCTTTCCTTAATGTGTTAATTGTCATCTGTAGTATTATAACTGATAGTTCATTTTGTGGATATATTTGTCAGCATTTATTTATGAATAAATGTGTATTGATTTTTCTGTTCTTCTTGAACAACCAAGATAATATTGTCCAAAAGAAAATTCTATAAAGATAGACAAGGTCTTCATTATCTGTTTCTCTAACCATTAGCTATATGTGCCTTCTGAAAAGTGGCGTGTCTGAACAACTGAGGAAGTTTTACAAATAATTCAATCCCAATAGCTACTCTATTAGATGCTACAGTTCTAACTAAAATGTAGTTATGAATATTGTAATGTTTTTTTTAGATCTTGGGGGAAGAGGAGTAACAATATGATGCTAAATGGAATATCATAAATTAAAATTTCAGGGTGAAATTTTCTTTTTGAATTAGTATTCTGTTACTTATTAGTCTTGTGTCCTTGCAACTTATATTTAAACCTCGTGTCTCAACTTTCTTCTATACAAAATGACAATAATAACTGCTTCAGATAATAATTATTATTATTTGCCTTTCACGTTATTGTAATTTCTATATGTAGAGGTGAACTGAGTTAATATATGGAAAGAGATTATTAGTACAGTGTCTGACACTGTAGATATGACAACTTGGTTTTCTACTCATGGGCATGCTGTTGTATTCTATGACATGCTAAAATACCATAGTGTACGATGGAATTAGTCAGATTGTTCTATTTGTGATGAAGCATACACTTTTGGAATGACTGTTATTATGTCCAGAGCTCTACATCTCATCTAACATCATTTGCTTTAAAGCACTCAAATGAGTAAAATAAGGCAGTCATATGTAGGGAGGTTTATTTACTTCGATACAGATGTTTCAGCACATCATCTCTGTGCTCTGTGGAAGTATTTAGTATTTCAGGTGCCAGTGGACCTTCAGTCAAGTCACTTGGCTTTGATAGACTAATCAATAAAGATGACACAGAGGTAGTTGCACTGTAATTCATTTTAAATGTTGTTGTATTTGTCTGTTCCAGTTACTGGCAGAAGAGTTGCCCTTGCGCCAAGGAATTCTAAAGCAATTAAATGAAACGGGAAGAGCAGTACTTGTAAGTGCTCCCATAAGACCGGAAGAGCAAGATAAACTTGAAAATAAGCTCAAGCAGACAAATCTCCAGTGGATCAAGGTTAGACATTAACCATCTTCTCTTTCGCATGTGTTAAGTATTGCCAGTGTTTCTACTTGCTTTGCTTCTTGCGTGTTTTCTTGGAAGGAAGCAGTGGTTTGGATTATTGTTTTGGTTTATAACCTGATTATCTGATTTAGCTCTGTAGCTTCCTAGAAACGGGAAGCAGCTTGTGATAGTGATTGACTTTGCATTAGTGAATGAACGCCAACCATGCATCAATACTCTTAAAAATTATTCCATAGGTAGAAACATTCATAAAGCAATTAACTTGAGTGAGGTGTTCAAGGTCAGGAAGTATAGTGATGAAGAATTATTATTTTAGATGTAGAATATAGACATAATTGATAACCAATGAATGATAATATGCTCAAAACGTTATTCTATTTCCAGTGACCTTACTTGCAAGTCTTTGTCTTTCCACATAGGACAAATTCTAAAATTGATGTAGAATATAAAATATTTTTTCAATTTACTACATAATTAAAAAACAACTTGCATATAAAAATTTATATTGTAATCTAAATTTTCCTTTGGTATGAAACCAGTCTCATTTATTTACTCAAATGAAATATTACTCTACTGTACAACTGTTACAACTCTGTCATGAGTCAAATGAATATTCATTTATGAATCTGCTTCCATATTGTTTTTTATCAACCAGTACAACAGTAGCTCAATGACAGCTCTTATATTCTTTTTTTGCTGTTTTATATTGTTAATTGATATACAATTAACCTTGTCATAAAATTTATCTATTTAAAATATATAGTGGAACAGTTTTGCTTTATTATTTACAATCTTTCATAACACATTTACATCACCAAATTTGAGAAGTGGGCATCTTATTACATAATTACTTGGCATTGATTACAATCATCATCATAAAAATCATCCGTTCCTAAAAATTTCCATCACTTCACATCAAAACTCTATAAACTATTATACATTTGCCCTCTTTAGCCATGGTAATCATTGCTTCTAATATTTATCTTTGATTTACGTAGGTCAGATATTTTGTATAAGTAAAAATGTACACTATGTATCTCCTTGTGCCTGAGAGGATCATCCATGCACTAGAAGTTTATTTTGTAATGGTAAAACATTATTTAATATATATTCACGTTAATAAAAAATTGGCACCTGATTGTATAACTTTTAAGTTTACTATTCTTATTCAGTAGTACTTTCATATTTTGAGTTAATTTCACTCAACAAAGACCTGTCTAGTCAACTTTTATGTGTAGCCTGCTTATACATTGATTGAGATTCTGCTGAATTTGTAGATCAGTTAATTATCTTTTCCATACTAAGTCACCATATCTATAATTATACATGCTATACCTCTGCTTTTGTCTATGTTTCCTTGAATGTTTATCAAGTTTTTATTGCTGTTTTGCCATCTTTATTCCAGTGATCCAGAATGTGATGTATTGGATTTAATGTAAAGTAGTTGATATTTTGAATCTCTGATAAATAAAAATTATTGTAATTTTTCTCCTCTGAGTTATTAGTCTAGAAAGATAAAATTAATTTTTATATATCAAATATGTATCTGGTGGTATTTCTAAATTTGCCTATTTATCCTAATAGTAGAATATGTTTCAATAATATGATTCTTTCATATTCAATTAGAAATCAAATAAGGCTAGTTGCTCCCTTTATAATCCTTATAATTTTAAGTGGACTTTTCCTGACATAACCTGTGTCAGTAAAAAAATCTTTTCTTGCATATTTATAATGAAATATGGTATGTGTTTTATAGTATGTTTGATCTCTTCAGTTTCTCCTTCTTCTAAGTCTATTAAGTACAAGAGTAAGGAAGGTAATGAACAATGGTCAAGGGCACTCTTTTATACTTATAACTAATTATAGCTTTCTTCTTTCTTCTTTTTTTCTGGAAAAAGGTGAATTATTACCATTGATTTTTTTTTAAAATGTGAAATCACTTTGATATCCCCTATTATTCATGATTCATTTTATAAATGTCTGGATTCAATTTTTTTTAAATATTTTGCTGAGTTTTTGTGCATCTTTGTTCATGGCAGGGAATATTCCTCAACTTTTTTTCTACTATCCTCAAGTGCTGATAGCAATGCAAGCATAGATTTAGAAAACCAATTGAGAGGTTCTCTTTGTTTCTTTGTTCAGGGTGTAATTGTTGAACAGTCTTCTTATTTCTTTCTCATATATTTAAGAAAATTAATTTTTCAGCTATCTGGGCATTCAAAGTTTTATAGTAACATTTAAGAAATGGATTTACTTTTTTGCAATAGATAGAGACATAGTTGATTTTTAATTGCTCTGTAAGCATTTACACTTTTCATCTTCCAAGGAATTTGACTGTAATTTTGTGTTTTTTTTTCTACACTGAACTATAAACACCCTGCATACAAAGGGCTATATTTTGGGACACTCATCAAATGCTACCAAGTTCAATTTTTTATTCAAGAATTCTACAAATTTTCTTTGTTTAGAATTGAGGTTAGTTTTGCTTGTCAAGAAGTACTAATCTTTACTATTTTCCTTTAGTAACAAATGGAAAACCTTTGATCATAGTCTACTGATAAAATAATTTAGAAAGCAATTTCCACTTAAAATCTCCCTCTCCTCCATTTTAACCCACTTCTTGGCTATATTCCTGACAGTATCTTCCCTTTTAGCTTGCCAGGGTGCTTTCTCCCTTTACCTAATGCAATTTCTCTTTTATGTTATATATTCTTTAAGTGTTTTCTCCAGATAGGCCTTTAACCATCAAAGATGTTTTCAGGCTTCTTCATTTTTTACAACCATTCTACTATGGTTTTGCACATATTTAATATATGTTAACTTTTTTTTATTCACAGTATACAGGAAATTTTAATCTTTGAAATAGGGAAAAATATGTTTCAAGAAGATACTGGAGAACAGCAATTTTTGAGTAATACAAAATGGCTTCTTTCAAGAGTGCAAAATTACCTTTTGTAAATTGTTTGTTATTCATTAGCACCCATCTAAATTGAGCGGCATAAGTAAGTTGTACTAAACACAACTCTGTTATTTGAAGAAAAATAATTGAATCTTAAAATTGTGCCAGGTTATTTATTTGATTCTAAAGTTGATGATGCTGAAGTTCTTGTAACAGATCATTGCCATGATTGATAAAATATTTAGGAGCTCAAAGAAGTACCACTTTGTAATATTGTAATCAAAATTGATATTTAAAACTCTATGATTCAAGTAAGAAGATATATTCAAAAATCATTTGAGATATCACATTTCCTCTCAGTTATGTGAATGATAAGATTGAAATATTTTTCAGAAGATTAGAAACCTAATAGAAAATTAAGTTATTTGTTTGATTATTTCAAAATATCCATATTAAATTAGAGATACTTGCACTAAGCATGATTTATTGGCCATTTAAATTTTGTAATTTTATAATAATGCAAAGAAAATTACTACTATAGGACAAGTCCAAGGAGGAGAAATATTTCAAAATTTTATATAATATCCAAGTACATTTTGATATAACAAAAGAAGCAGAAAATTATAAAAATAGGAAATCCTATTTATATAAAATCTTTTCAGCTTTGTGGACTGTAAAACTTAAGGTTTTACTACTTCTACAACAAAATAAAAACACAACTTTTGTATCAAAATATGCAAACTAAAGAAATGACACTATTTGATATAGATTTATACTGCTACAAAACAATATCTTTGCCTCTACTAAAGATTAAATTTTCAGTGCTATGCCTTTGACGAAAATTATAAATTTAACATACAAGTCTTTTCAGTAGGTTTTCAATAATGAGAACAGCTAACAATTCATGGAGAAAAGAGGCACTTGCGAATCTTATGAAATCCTATGAATGAAATCTCAAGTTTGGGACCATAGAAGTATTTACAAGGAACTCCGCCCTCTGTTTTCTGTTTCCTCCTGAGAAAAGGGTAGAGTAAATAGTGCATTAAGAACTTGTAGATAATTTTTTCCAGATTGACACATATGGCCATTACTTAGCACATTTTCCCCAGAAAGACCTAATGGAAAGTGGAAATTCCTGGTATTTCATTATGCTGTGTAGCTAACTTCGCAATTATTTGCACAGCTTTATATTTCAATACGGAAAAAAGCAGTGAGAGCCAGTGCATATGTTTCTATATTTGCACATGCCTATTTCCTGATATGCCCATCTAAAGTGAAAACATAAATGGAAAATGAACTACATAAGCATAATTTACTAAATTACTAAACGTTTACTCTCACATGTGAAAAGTGTTGAGAACACTTGCATTAGCCTTCATTAGGTAAAATCACCTAACACAAAACCTGTTTATTTATTTATTATGTATACAACATTCTGCCTTGATGTATGCCCGTACGCCAGAGGAGGGCGCCAGAGCTCAGTACAGATGGCTGTGAGCCACCATGTGGTTGCTGGGAATTGAACTCAGGACCTCTGGAAGAGCAATCAGTGCTCTTAACCACTGAGCCATCTCTCCAGCCCCCCACAAAACCTGTTTAATGACAACCTGTTGACTATATCTTGAACTTTTGAGCATGATACTGCAAGTGAAAACCAAAATCCTTGTGTATTATTTTACTAGATTATAGTAAATAGATTTAAAAGTTGAGAACCAGCTGCTATTAGCGTGATGAACTGATAGATGATTCAATAAAGCTATTAGCTTGTTTTTTCTCTGGGTAATATATATTTTTATTGATTTTATTGAGCTGTACCTATTTCTCTGCCCCCCCCATTCCTTTCCCCTCCCCTTCAACCCTCTCTCATGGTCCCCAGGCTCCCAATGTACTCAGGAAATGTCATCATTTTCTACTTCCCATGTAGATTAGATCCATGTGTGTCTCTCTTAGGGTTCTCATTGTTGTCTATGTTCTCTGGGATTGTGATCTATAGGGTGGTTTTCTTTGTTTTATGTTTAAAAACACTTATGAGTGAGTACATATGACAATTGTCTTTCTGGGTCTGAGTTACCTCATTCAATAGGCTGTTCTC